CTAGTTCTTTTTAATCCTAGGCTAATCTCCCTTTTTCAAATCAAGTACAGTGCTCAAATGCTAATGTTAGGTTCTTAAAATAACTCATTTGTTTGCTAGAATGTTTCTGCAGAAAGATGGTATTAGAAGAACTAGACATGTGCATTCGGGTTTGGACAAGCCAGCAAATCAACGAAATTCAGTTGATTCGGCGGTTCGTCCGAATCTGAAACAACAAATTTATTATATACCTAAATATACGAAAACTATATTCGGGCATACATAATTTTGTTTGCAGAATGTGCATGCCCGCCGCCATCTTGGAGGCAGAGCGCTTGACGTTACATGATGGTGAGTAAAGGATGGACAGCGGCACTCCAAAGCAAGTTCAGTACGTGTTTATTAAAGGAGAACTATGGGGTTAAGGCTTTTTCCCATAGTTCTCCTTTGGGTAACGGAGGACACAAACTAGCGTCCACCCGTCACCATAGGCTCAGTATGCCGCGAGCTGCTGCTCGCGGTGTACTGAGACGCCGCAGCTGAAGCGGATCCCAACAATTATGCCGGGATCCGCCCAGCTGCGTAACTAGATAGGCAGAGCCAGCTGTACCCGCCCCCCTCCCCCGTCCGTTCGGCCAGTCAGTGCTGGAGGATCGGAGCGGGGAGGGGGGAATCCAGCCCCTCCCCTGTCATGGCAGAGAGCCGTTCAGGATTGAGAGGCGAGCGAACGCGGTATGTGTTCGCTCACCTCCCGATCTACTGAGCCGACCTGTGACAGTCTCATTGTCACAGGTCGGCTAGAACTATGAGGTGAGTGAAAAGCACTCACCTCATAGTTCTCCTTTAACATACTAATTGCAAGTAGAACACTCTAAACAATGTTTCGGGATCTCACAGGTGAGACCCCGAAACGTTGTTTAGAGTGTTCTACTTGCAATTAGTACGTCAATAAACACATACTGAACTTGCTTTGGAGTGCCGCTGTCCATCCTTTACTTATATTTTGTCGGAAGCCACCTGCTGTCACCTGCTGCACCCACCTTCCATTTTTGGAGCAACGGCTCTGAGTGCGATGGGTACACGGACTGTAACATGATGGTGAGGTCACACGCTAAACGAACAGCGGCTATATTGGCCGCCGGTGCATTCTGTGCAGGCGCAGCGCCATCTTTGAGTATATCTTGGTATACAACAAGATGGTGGTGCCTGAACATGGGGGCACCGCCATCTTGGTGTATACTAAGATACACTGAAATATGGTGGTGCACATGAGCAGAACGTGCCGGCCACTCGTTCTGCAGTTCCAGTGTGCGGTTTTGGATTCGGAGACTCGTTGCCTCCAAATCCGAAACAGCATAAAACATTTGTTTTCTTTGAGGAAACTAATAAAAACGTTTTTCTTTCCGTGCTAATAAAAACGATTTTCTTGCCGTGCAGTGTGTGCACATGCCTAATTAGAACAGACGGTTCTTCTTGGGATTCTTGCAATGCCATATAGTGCAGTATTGGCTCTATTGATTGGGAACTCAGTGAACACATATGACTGATCGCTGAGTTCCCGATTCTCTCCCTGCAGAGAGCGGTGACTGTCAGTCAGCCAGATTTGGAGCATAAAAGCCTCCATGTTAGTCCAGAAGGTCACATTTTGCAAACTGATGTAATCTATCATCTAATTTTTACTTTCTGTAACTTTTTTTTCTAGATACATTTTCATAACTTTGACCATGAGATAAAGCTCTTCTTTTTCCTTCTCAGATCCAACAATTTAAAGGTGGCAATAGCAAAGGATGGCACCATATGACCCATAACCAAGTCATGCCAGCAGTCCAAAGTGATGCAATTCTTTAACCTCTTTAACCTCATACATGTTGAAAAAAATCTGAGAATTGTAATGTTTTTGTGGACATGAAGCTCCCCTTTTGAAAAGGGGCCTAAATCAGGGGAGATACCTTTCTTTGCCTTGCTGCACTCCTTACCGAAAGTCCCTTGTAATGGGGTGGGTGCTCGCAGTGTCTGCGGATGGCGCCGCAAATATCAACAAAATGTAGAGATGTCACCAGCACACCAGAATTCATCAATGCTAAGCCCTGATGAAGGGACCCTGCGCGTCCCCCGAAATCGCTTGTTTATATGACAAGGAACTTCAAATAAATGAACATTCTGCTATCTTAAAAGGATTCTGGTGTGCTGGTGACATCTCTACGTTTTGCTAAATCAGGGGAGGACTGGCCTGAATGGCATGGGGGATTTTGCCCTCTGGGACAGTAATAAAAATATATGTTGGGTTAGTTATTAGTGGAGATACTTTACTATTCAGACATTGGTCAGAGTGGGACCTGCAGTCAGTGATACATTATGGTTATTATACATCTATCTATTCTCTGTGATCTGTAAACTCAAATTGTTGCAGAGTGAAGTCTCAGCACCAATTCCCTTTGCATCCTTGAGATGTGATTAAATTCTAATAGCCACAAAAGGAACTGAAGATGGAAGATGTAAAGAAAGAACCTATCTGCTCAGCTAAGGTACCCAACAGACTTTATGTTAACTAAATAATTGCTGCTTGCTTCATATGTACTTGTCTGGAGACTTTACGGATGGCACCCTGCTCTTCAAAAATGTTGTGTTAGGTGTCTGAGCAAAGACTAAATTGCGGAAGGAACTGGGAAATTAACAATATCTCTACTGAAAATGTCTCTCCCTGACCTTCAAGTACTTGGTACAGTATTAACTTTGACTCAAGGCTCACAATGTCATGTAAATGATATGAGTTCTGCCAGGTTATTTTAAATAATACCTCTTTTCTCCAATAACTTTCTCCCATTCCTAATCTCAGTAGTATCTCAGACAGGGTCTCCAACATCCTAACCTCTAGTATAACTTTTAGTAGTGGTACCTTAGGGTCACTTTCTGCTGAAGAAGCTTTATGATCTTTTGAAGGTTGAAGGTTTCATTTCGTTACCATGGTATATTTGAATGAGCTTTCTCTTTTCGGACTGGTGTACCTGGTAATTGCCATCACTGATTTTTTTTCTTTGATCTCATAGGTCTTTTCCAAAAAAATACTCAATAAAGTAGGCACAAAAACTCTGTCTCTAGGTTTAAAGGATCTGATTTTAGTAGATTGGTTATAAACTATTGCCTGCACCTCTTGGGCTTGCTGCACGTGTTTGTGAACAACGGGCATGACTGCCACTATCCTTTCCTGCATCTAAGAAATGTGTTCAGTTACACTTTTGTGAGGTTTGCCCTCTTGCCCCCATGTTTTCTGGGCTATGTCTAGGAGTCCCCATGGACATCTACTGCACAGAAGATCAAACAGAGAAAACCCAGTGGAGGACTGTGGTTCTTCTCTTATTAAAAACATTAACAGGGTTATTCACAAAAGGGTGAAGAGTTTGGAGAAGGCAGGAGAAGTGAACAATTTAGTCCAAAATAGCCGATTTGGAAAAAGTCTTTAATTCAGCTCACTTTCCAGTTCAGCTATTTTGTCCTAAATTGTTCACTTCTCCTGCCTTCTCCAAACTCTTCACCCTTTTGTGAATAACCCTGTAAGTATTATTGCAGGATCCCAGTCATTTCCATCTTTATTAACCACTTTTTAGCATATCTTTCAGGGTCCTGATGTACGGTTCTACCAGCCCATCATTTTGGGGTTGTATACTGAAGTTTGTATTTTAATAATTTTCAACAATTGACACAGCTTTTTGGTTACCTTTGACACGAAAGGAGGTCCTTGGTCTGTCAAAATGTCCTTTGAAATATCAGTCTGGAAAAACATGTGGAACAGTTCTTTGGCTATAACCTTAAAGGATCTGATCCTCAAATTTTACACAAAAACATCTAAAGGATAACCATAGAGGATGTGTTTCTGAGAGAGCTTGATTCTGGATGCCAGGTGGCATAGTCAAGGAATATCAATATGTACTAGTGCCCCCAGGTGCTGTGGCACAACCAGATCCACTGCAACCCTCTCAAAAAGCATCTCCGCAAACTTTGAAAATGTAGTTGGAGTGTATTATTTGACACAGTGCAAGAGTTAAGATACTCATCAAATGCTTTGTAAATACCAGGTCAGAAAACAAAACACTGTTCAATCTTCTCTTTTATTTTCTATCCCCTAAAGACCAGATAATACATGAGAATGGGCTAGATCAAACACCATCCTTGTGTGAGACTGAGGAACCACCAGATACTCAACAACATGCTCTTGATCCTTCTTTAGACAATACATTTAATCAGTTTCCTGAGAACACATAAGGCCAGACACCTTGTTCAATAAGGCAATTGTGGAGCAGCAATAATGGAAGCTAAGTGACTTTCAATGTATCCTATTATATATTTATATACCATTGCTTGTGTTAGAAAGGGAGGTTGCATGTGCATGTGTGTGTGTCTATGCATGCAAAAGTGTTACAGTCTGTTTATTTTGTGTTGTTTGTTGCTGTAATTTAAAGTAGTTTGTATATACAGCAAGGTTGTGTAAAGCACCTTGATACTACAACTGGGTCATTTTACTTGGTTCTACTACAAAAATCAAACAAACAAGTAGCTGTAAAATTTAAAAACAAAACAAAGTGACTTTAAAGCCGAACTCCAGGAATTTGTTTCATTAAGCCTTGCAGTTGGACTGACCCCGCACTGCAAGGGTTAAGTACTCGTTTGTGTCTAGGTGTTAAAATAACCAGGATATACTCACCCAATGCTCCAAGCCAGCCAGCTGTCACGGCGCTCCCTCCTGCCTGTCCCCTCCTCCGCAGCACATTGGAATGTTTCTCAACATCCTCACGTCTATTCACTGTGTATAGACATTAATGATTTGCTGGACCTTAGACTGCTGCAGAGGAGGGGTAGACACACTCCAGGGACCTGTCTAAGAAGAAGCCAGCTTGGAGCTTTGGGTGAGTATATCTTTTTTTTAAAAACCTAGACACAAACAAGCAGTTAACCCTTGCAGTACTGGGATAGCCCCCACTACAAGGGTTAATACACAAATTCCAGGAGTTCTTCTTTAGGAGAAGTTACTTGTATATATTCTTCCTATCAAGCAAACATGATTGTGTATTTAGTTTTGGTTTAAATAGGATAATGAAACATTTTGGCAAAAATATACAGCTTAGAAGTCCAGCGCTTGAGGCTAATATGGCGACTACCTCCACAGCTACCATATATTTCCCTTTGGTGCTCAGATAGGCCGGGATCATGGCAATCCAGGCACTGCAGAACACCAGCATGCTGAAGGTGATGTACTTGGCTTCATTAAAACTGTCCGGTAATGTCCTCACCATGAAAGCCAGAAGAAAACTCACAGCTGCCAGAAACCCCATATAACCCAACACAGAGTAGAACCCGATAACTGACCCTTCATTACACTGAATGACGATCTTGTCTTGATAAGAGTGAGTGTCTATTTCTTTGAAGGGGTGAGAAGTGGACAACCAAATAAGACATATTATCACTTGAACAGATGAGCACAATGATACTATAGAGTTGGACAGTTTGCTTCCAATCCATTTCCTCCAGTAGCTGCCAGGTTTGGTGGCTTTGAAAGCAATGTAAACCATGATTGTTTTAGCCAGAAGAGAGGAGACGGCTATGGAGAAGATGACTCCAAATGTCATGACACGGAGTATACAGGTTATATCCAGTGGCTGACCAAGGAACAAGAACACACAGGTGAAGCTCAAGAAGATGGAGACAAGGAGAACAAAACTCAGGTTTCTGTTATTGGCTTTGACAATGGGGGTGTTCAGATAGGAAATAAAAATCCCCATTATGAAGAGAGTCACAATACAGAGTAAAGAAGAAGCTGTGATGAATACTTTAGAAATGCCATCAGTGTAGGAGAGAAATTCCAGCAGTTTCGGAATACATCGATCCTTTTTCTCATTGGGCCATTCATCATCCCTGCACTTCATACAGCTCTCCCTGTCTGCCAAGAGCAATAGATATAACACACATTGATTTTTATTGTATTGTTTATATATCTAGATCATTTTGCTGTGCTAAATAGAAAATGCCTCCAAACTGCTCAATGTGTCAGGTTATAAGTACACTTCTACAGGCACCACACTGCCACAGTGCTTATGGTACAGCCTACAATGGGTAGAATTCATACCCGTGTATACATACAGATGGCTATGTATCCAGTAATATTATTGAAAAAGCTAGTTACATAGTTACATAGTTACATAGTCACATAATATTTGAGGTTGAATAAAGACATTAGTCCATCAAGTCCAACCTATAAGCTGGCTTTGCACATCAAGATTCAGCAAGTTCCCAGGTATGCAAAGACTACTGGAGTTACTTAAATCCAGGTAAGGGGTTTTTAGATACTTTTTTATGGATAATTTATTTTTTCTAATTTCATATATTTTTTTCCTCTGCTCTATTTGTAATTATGAAGCAACCTCATACTCATTTACCCATTTTTGGCATTATCCTCCTCAAAGATGACCATAGTGCTGATATTAGCATAGCAGGGGGCTAGAAATGTGTGGTGCCTGCTATATGAAACTGAACTTGTTCTTTTAGGATGCAGCCTTGTGCTTTTTTTGCCCTCCCAAACTTTATAGGTTGCCATAGGGGTGGTATAAGCATAGCAAGGAGCTAGGACAAGACATGGGTCTGTAGAAAAGTTTGGTGTCTGTTATAGGAAGCTATTAAGATAAGACCTAATCCTTTTTTTGGGGGGCCTCTCAATCTTCTAAGGCTGGCTGCCATATGTGTGGCTTCAGAATAGACTTGTGCGCCGTCAAAAAATTTGTTCTGTTTCGTTTCGTTCCGTTTCGTAATATCCATTATTTCGTAATTCGTATCCGAAACTCAATTCGGATTCGTACGAAATACGGATTTACGTTAGTTTCGGCACATTTTCGTAACTTTACGAACATTCGTTATGATGAAGTTAAAAAGCAAAAATACCTTTGTTAATATATTGGAGTCGATGTGGTAGCTGTTTTTTTATCCGAAATACGAATTCCGTTAACAGATTCCATATACGAATTTCGTATTTCCTGCCTGTATTTGTAATGCAACTCTAGTCTCAGCAGCAGAAGAGAACCTCTGATTGGTCAACCAAAACGAAATACAAATTCCGTTAACGGATTCCGTATCCGAATTTCGTATTTCGGACTTAAAAAAAAACTAACATCAACTCCAATATAAATGTACTTTGCTTTTTACCTTACCAATATAACGAATGTTCGTAACGGAATGAAAATACGTCAACGGAATTTCGTATTTCCTGCCTGTGTATTGTAATGCAACCCTCAGCAGCAGCGGATCCGTATTTCGGATTAAAAAAAAAATCTTGTCATGTTGTTCAACCTCATTTACAGGGGTAATATTAGTTCCTGTTTCAAAGAAATTCGGATCCGAAATTCGTTAACGGAATTTCGTATTTCGGATATAAATTCGGAAACTGCAAATCGGATTTCGTATGCTTCCGAATCTACGAATTTCAGGAAAATTCGTACGAATTTTGATTCGTAACGAAACAAATCGCACATGTCTACTTCAGAATAGCACTGGGAATTGGACAAGGCATGGGTGTGGAGAAATGTTTGTTAACTGTTGTGATGTGCTGAACTTGTTCTTTTTAGGGTGAGACCTAGTCCTGTTTATGGCCTCTCAATCTTCAAAGACTGCGATAGTGGTGTTATCAACATGGCAAGGAGCCTGCATAGCCACATCACTTCTTATGTGAAAAACCCAGACGGAATGACTCATCACAATCTGCATTTTCTGAATTTGATATAATGTAAAATAAGACAGGCCATCAGCTGATCCAAACCTGCAAATCAGATAATGAGTGCTAATGTTTTTTTATACATGTGTATACATTTACCTCTGGGATGAGTTCTTAGCCAGTATGTGGGATATGAAAGCAGAATTGGGCATCATTCTTTTTAAGGATTTTATAATGCTTTTTACCATGAACGGCAAAACAGGGAGAGGGTTAGGGCTGCAGACATCTAGGTAACACAGAACTCCACACTCACCGAAGGCCTTTAAACTGAAAATGTGGGGATACTGTGTTAGAGATCCATAGCTGGTTGGCAGACATGTTTGAGATCTCCCCTGGGTGAGACATCAGACTCCCTGCGAGTTCTAAGCCCAGTATGGCTTCTCCGGTTCCTCCAGAAGACAAAGTTCCTCCCTGGCTCTCCATCCCAGGAATAAATCCTGACCTCAACTGGGTCCATACCTGACCATGTGTAAGTTTCCGGACTGGTGAGACAGCACCCTGATAACGCCCTTCCCCCAGGTAGGACTCTGGGGGAGAAAAAGATTCTCACATGGTCAGATATTTATGTCCTCTCCCATCATGCACCTCTCCCATCATGTACCTCTACCAGCATGCACCACTGACCATGAAACTCCAAGTGATTGGCTTCAAAGATATAGATACCTATAACATTCCACGATGGGTTGCTCTGCTCCGTGGCAAAGTTACACCTAGCAGCAGGCAATTGCAATCAATAACAGAATCTTAAAGTCAAATGAGCACAGACTATATAATCAGCTAGAGTGGATCCAGTGTGGGCAGGGTGGCTACACATGGTAAATTGATTAATGAAAGATTGTAAGTGGAACTCCAGAAGTTAAACTGCCTGTAAGTTGTGAAAAAAAGCATTTACTGCTATACTTGTCATCAACCAAAAGCTCCCCACCAGTACTTTAACTTCCCCGCTAAATGTCACCAGTCTTCATAGGTAATTTATGGCCATCATTCAACCAAAATTCTTGTGATACTGGGCTGTCATGGAATCCCTCCTGGGGGATGTTATAGGGCAGCCTGGGCTCGTAATAATCCTGAACTGAGTGATGTGAGGGATTCTCGCTTTAAGGTGAAAGGACCACAAGTGCCACTGAAGAAAGAGGAGGAGGTGACACCATCAGATCTACCTGAAGTCTACAGTGACAAAGTATTAAACTAAATTTTAGTTATTCATTTCTTCACTCACAGTGGGTGTACATTCCAGTGCCTTGTATAGCTGTTAGCTTGCTTGTTGGCACAGTGTATATATATATTAGCACAGACCAGGTCTGTTTTTCTTTAGCCCAGGTAATACGCTTCTGACGTTGTTTGTTGTTCAGGAGCGGCTTGACAAGAGGAATACGACATTTGAAGCCTATGTCCAGGATCCGTCTGTGTGTGGTGGCTCTTGATGCGCTGACTCCAGGCTCAGTCCACTCCTTGTGAAAGTTCCTAACACTTTTGAATGGCCTTTTCCTGACAATCCTCTCCAGGCTGCGGTCATCCCTACTACTTGTGCACCTTTTTCTTGCACACTTTTCCCTGCCACATAACTTTCTATTAATGTGCTTTGATACAGCACTCTGGGAACATCCAACTTCTTTTGCAATTACCTTTTTGAGGCTTTCCCTCCTTATGGAGGGTGTCAATGATGGTTTTCTGCACAACTGTCAGGTCAGCAGTCTTTCCCATGATTGTGATTCCTACTGAACCAGACTGAGAGACCATTTAAAGGCTCAGGAACCCTTTGCAGGTCTTATGGCTTCATTAGCTGATTAGAGTGGGACACTTTGAGCCTAGAATATTGCACCTTTTCACAATATTCTCATTTTCTGAGATTGTGGATTTGGGGTTTTCATGAGCTGTAAGCCATAATCATCACAATGATGACAAATCACGGCTTGAACTATCTTGCTTTGCATGTAATGAGTCTATCTCATATATTAGATTCACCTTTTAAGTTGCATTAGTGAAATAAATGAACTTTTGCACGATATTCTAATGATTCGAGTTTCACCTGTATATATATTTTTATACATTTAAATGGTGTGTCACAAGTAATGAATGGACTTTACTAAAGTTTTAGATCTCAGTGCTAGGATCTTAACCTCATAGGAGCCCATTGAACTGTCTGTAGCTAGTCAAAACTGTATCTCTGTAAGCAAGAGGTTTTATTTTCATAGTCCAACAAAAATCTGCTATGTACAAATATCCATATTACACCTTTTCACATGTGATTTCCTACTAAACAAGAATATGCTTTAGAGGAAAATTTTGAAGTGCTGTTATTTAAGTTGCAGCTTTCTCTCATCTCTGAATATTATTTTTTTTTTAAATGACTGAATGCAACCGTAGTAAGGTAGAGTGAGGTATACCAGTCTGATTGGATATCTCCCCTTCTGAACATGGGACACAGTCATAGCAGCAAGGGTGGATTGAAGATCCTGGCTTTATTCTGTTTCCAGGCAAACAAACCTCTGAGCACCGAGATTCCAGCTGCTGAAAAGACGTCAAATAAAAAGGAATTGGCACTATCAATAAATAATTTTACTTATGTAAAATAACATTGGAAATACAGTAAGAGTGTGTGGCCAACTGTTACTGTATATCCTCTACCATTGCTATAGAGCACAATGTGAGTGTAAGGTATTCACAAAAAAGTCTTACAGGGTTATTCACTAAAGGATGAAGAGTTTGGAGAAGGCGGGAGAAGTGAACAATCTAGGACAAAATGACTGATTTGGAGAAATTCTCCAATTCAGCTCACTTTCTGGTTCAGCTATGTTGTCCGAGATTGTTCACTTCTCCTGCCGTCTCCAAACTCTTCACCCTTTTGTGAATAACCCTGTAAAAAATTGTAATATTGTCACATAGATGACTCATAGATAAATGTTCATAGTATAGGGAGGGATTTCACAGACTCTCACACATCAGCCACCGCATTAGGAACAGTCACGCCAGCTCTAGCTATCAGGTGGCACAGCTGATAGCTAAAGGATTTTAACCCAGAGTGCCCAAGAACTTGCTCTTCAATAGTACAAACTGCTTGACCAATAAAGCAAGGACCCAAATGGTGGATGTGAAATGGACTGTTCAAATACAGTTTCTGACCTGGCTTTCTCAACTGAAGGAGGAAGGCAGGAAATATTGCAGCATCTGGATGGAAACATGTAAAACTGATGGCAAAAAGACCAAACGGTCCACCGAGTCTGGCCTTTTATATCTTTGTCTGAGGATAGACCTATGTTTACCCCAAGCATGTACTAAATGTACTTACTGTTGATTAACTCACTACCGCTTATTGAAATTTGTTCAAACACCCACTACTCTTATAGTAAAATAATACTTTCTTCTTCTTGACAAGAACTTATTTTTTTCATGCTCTGCTGTATCTGACTAATTAAACACCAATGAACAGTTATTATCCGAATTTGGTGTATTGTGTGACATCTTTAGTAGGCAAGTGCATTCATTTTCATCCCAACTGACAAATGCGGATGAAAATTGGCAAATTCCAAAATTTGAATGCATATAACATTACGAAAGGGAAAATAAAAAATTTGAATGTGTATCCGAATTTATGATAACCATCTGAACCATGATGCATCTGAATTTTGTCCGCATGTCATTTGGAATTAACTGATATGTTGTTAAACGTGAAAATTGTAAAAAAAAAAACAAAACAGTTTGGGGTTCCCTTCAAATTCATGCTGACCATTTAGGCCTGGTAGGGGGGCATGGCAAAAAAACAATTTTTTTTTTTTTTTTATTATTAATAAAGAACCTGTTAAGACTGTGTTGTATGTTTTTTGAGAATCTTAAAGTTTATTTGGTGAATTAGTAGGGGTACTACCCCTTACTCATTCATTAGGGGGAATCTTGAGGCACCCAGATGCAGATAAGCCCCCCACCTGCAGACCTCTCCCACAACCACCAGTCCAGGGTTGTGGGGAAGAGACCCTTGTCCTCATCAACATGGGGAGCCTGTTGAGGACAAGTAACCTGATATGGTGAAGAAGGGGACGTTCACGATAGTCCCCCACCTTTCCTGCTCTGCCAGGCCACTGCTCAGATTAAGGGTCTGGTAAGGGATTTGGTGAGGACCCCACACTTTTTTTTGGCGTGGGGTCCCTCCTAAAATTTCTACCGGACCTAAAGTGTTTGCTATGAATTTGGGGGAGGCCCCTACGCTGCTTTTTTCATTTTTGATTTTCAGGTTTAACAACATACTAAATTCTATCCAAATAGATCTGAATAGATCCAAATTCCAAACAAAGTACACCACAAGCGCCAGCAGCATGCATCAGGGATGAAAGGAGAGGAGAAAATCTTCAATGATCCATGTAGTACACTTTCAAGGCTGCTCTCGCTGGTTTAGGGAAACTACAAAGCTGAAATACAAAACACAGAGAGCGCCTCCATCGTGTAAAAACTTTGGATCGATCCGAATTCTGAATAATGAATATTGAACAGATCTGAATTTCAGAAAGAAAAACAAAATGTTTGGCCATGCACATGTCTAATCTTTAGTATAGCAGATCAAACATCTTACCAGTGCTGTTATTTTAGAAGTGATTGAAGTGGATGTACTGTAAGTCCTTAATCCATTTCCACTATGACTGCCGTCATGTACGATTTTGTGCAATTTTCTTAAGAAAATAACTTTTTTGTGCAATTAATAACATTGTCACTCTGCTGTTTGACATCCTTCAGATAACTGTCGGTCTTTCTATAGCCCTGATAGACAACCCCACTGCCAACTTAAGCAGTAAACATGGAAGGCTGACAAAGCTGCTCCTTTTGTGGCATGGGCTTGGCATTGTCAGCCTGCAACAGGAAGTGATGTTAGTGGCAGGATCTCTGGGAAATAGGCTTTGGAAATTACTTCTTAAAACAATTATTTGCTTAAGAATACTGAATACAGTGAGACATAATGGCAAACATTCTGAGAAAAAAATGTCTGGGTGTTCATGAACTTAACGTATATGTCACTACAAAAAAAGTCTACAGTCCATTGTGGCAATGAAATGCAAATTTGTCAGTGTTTTATCCTTTTAAGGACCCTGCAGGTGTAAAAAAAAAATACCTGTTGATCTACCGAAATGCACTCCACTCCAAATCCCTATTGTGGGCTGACAAAGCTGTCAACACAACAACTTTGAAAACTTAGTGGTATCCATCGCTCTCCTGTTTGCCTAATCCAAATTAACGACACAAACCCTCCCACTCTCAGATCTCTAGAACATAAAGACTAATTGACCTGTGTAAGAACTAGGGGGGTAAGTAGACTCCATTAGATAACACAGGAAGAGTAAACAGGACGGCTCTGAATTAGTGACATGAGTAGCAAGATTTTTTTTCATTGTTAGGGTTTACATGCGGTACATGTGAAATTATTTTTGTCTGGCGAGAGAAGTAGTTCTCCATGGAAGACCCCTGTAGACTCCATTATCCTATAGACTCCATTATGTGAGTATGAGGAAGCAAAGATCCCTACAAATATTTTATTTTTAATTTGTATTATACTTACATGTGATGGGCCAATAAGGCTAATATATGGCTAATATGTGCTTCTCCTCACCTTATTATCATCTTCATTCCATGTTATCATAGTAGAGTTAATGTGAAATTGGTCTGCCTCTTTAGCCCATGGTGTGTGCAAACCAACATCAGTTTTGCTCATTTTAAAGCTGCTAGTCTTTATCCAATTTACTATTCTGTAGTGGAAGGGAAATTCACCATTTTCATCAAAAAAGGTCTTTTGATCTACATTCTCAAATGGATTTTTGATATGTTTTATATATTTATACAACTGGAGGGAAAAAAAAGAAAACCTCAAATTAGTTAAAGATGAAGTTTAATTGGTTGATATTTTACCTTCCCTGGTTCGACTTCCTCCCTTCATCACCACATCTATGGCTTGTGTCTTTTTCAACCTGACTAACTATGTAAATCTTTGTGTCACGGATATCATCACTGGGCCTTCTTGCAAGGGTGCTGTACATAGCTTCCTGAAAACACCTCCACACTTTGCCTCAGTACTCCCACTCAAGAGCCCTTAGTCCTGATGAAAGAAGTAAGCTAGCTCTGGGGAGAAGATATGCAAATATCCCAATGTATTGATGGGGAATGTCTGGAGGATCAGGAGTTTCTGGGCAGGTTGAATTTGCATGCAGACCATGCTAGGTAACAACCAGCTTTGATCCGAAAACCTCCATGATTGAGAAAACTGAAATACAGTCAACGCTAGGGGAAGGTCAGGGGCAGTCAGGCTGGAAAGCAAAGGGCTAGATGATTCTGGACATTCTCTAGTCCAGAGAAGAGGCGGGTCCTATCTGACTTTTCTAAAGCTTTTAATGTACATTATAAGAAGCTCAGAGTGTGCACTGAGATCAGAAGAAGCAATTTCAGTCCAAGAGAGGAGCCGGTACAACTGTGCAAGACTGAAGGGAAGGCCGGAGTTCAGATTTACAGGGTTATTCACAAAGGGGTGAAGAGTTTGGAGAAGGCCGGAGAAGTGAACAATCTAGGACAAAATAACCGATTTGTGAAAATTCTCCAACGCAGCTCACTTTGCAGTTCAGCTATATTGTCCTAGATTGTTCACTTCTTCTGCCTTCTCCAAACCCTTCACCCTTTTCTGAATAACCCTGTTAATGTTTGCACAATTGTTACAGATATTTATTACGTATCTCATTCTTGTAAAATGTTTACATTTTAGTTTCCTGCAGAATCAGCTGGTGCCACTGAGCTCTGGTCCTGACTTCCTGTTTTACAGTGACTCTTTTCTCTAGCAGAGTGCTATGCAGTCACCCTTGTGTGTGCTAGTAAGCTGTGTGTGTCTCCACAAACACATGTTTCAAGAGACGTCACGTTTGAAAAAAGGATGTGCTGGTGACATCCTTTGAAACATGTACGTATCTCACGGTACCATCAGTGGTCACTACTAGCACCCACCTGCACCTTGCAGGGCATCATATATGGTAAGGAGTGACCCTGAAGAGAACGTATGCAAATATCCTAATGTCTTGATGGGGCATGTCTGGAGGATCAGGAGTTTCTGGGAGATATTTCCTTTTTATCCACATACACACAGATGCAGCAAGTCAAGCTACTTCCCTCCCCCATGGCATCAGTGGTCATTACTAGCACCCACCTGCATCTTGCAGGACATCATATATGGTAAGGAGTGCATCAAGACATGTTCTTATTATCCACAAGCACATAGATGCAGCAAGTCAAGCTACTTCCCTCATCCCTGGCCCCCTCCTTCCTCCAAGCTAGTAGATGAACAGTTGGTGGAGTCTTCGCTGTCACTTGTGATCTTGTACAGGACAGGAAATACAGGGCAGCTGAGCTGATATACTTGGAAGCAGCTGTTCAGAAACATGATATTTGTAAGCATTTGTTCAAAAATGTAAAGCAATGGTTTGCAGGGAAATGTACATTTCTTTGATCTGGATTCATTATTGAAAAAAACATTTGAGGGTTTAATACTA